TGATCTACATGTAGTGTTCGTAGAACTTGTGATTTGGGGTGTGGATTTTTTTTACTTTTAAAAGTACTGAGGTTGACCCTGACGAAAATGAAGTGCTAACAACACTCTTCCAAACTCAAATGGCACAGATTCCCGTGTCTCGCTTTATATTGACTTCGACAGTTTCAAATTGCTTTCTGCTGACAGGTAAATATTGGGAGCGCAAAAATGAGTTACTGACTCGCTCCCCGACCTTTCCTTCTACAGGAACAATTCGAAGCAAAGGGACCAATGCATCTCCAACATATTGTGACTGAATAAGGTCACAGTAAACGAAAAGATCGTGAAAGCCGTATTCCAAATCCACTTGTCTTTCAGCGGTAGAAGTATTAGTATAAACACCAATAACCACAGAGAACAGTATTGCGATTTTGTATTTCATCCTTTGAGAAAACTATGCGTTTTCCAGAAGTATGAAAATACTTTAATGCTTCATTTGGCATTCTTAAACCAAATGGATCGAAGTACTCAACCACCGAATCTATATTTCTATAACAAACCCAATGTGTTCCAGATCCCTGAGTATCATCGAGATTGATTATTCCACATTCTTTTCTTATTCTATTTGGTAGTCCATCGCGACTATATATTTCTCTGAAATGTTTAATACCAAGTCTTTTTACCCAATCCATGAGGTCAAAGTTGGATAGAGGTTTAATTACAAAATGGCCCCTATTAATGGAATTGAGTTGAATGGGCTGTTTTTTCCTAGAAGAAGTCCTTTGCCTTTGGACTTTTTTTTTTAACTCCCATTCCAATTGGGTTTTTCCATGTACCTAAAAAGGGTGGTGGAAAGTGATAAGGATAACCTTCACCATGTGTGGGTGGAGGAGGAGGAGTAGGTGGAACGTAAACATTTGATGTATTAGATGGTAAATGTCTATCAGGTATCCGATGTTAACAAAAAAAAGTTCTGCGTTATTTTGTAGGTGAACAGTCACCTTCCTAGCGAACGTAACGTAGAAAAATGTCACATAGTCATTGAAATTAAACGCTTTGCATTCTCGATCAGCCATTTCATCTTTGATAAGATATCTTCAGTGGAAGAATAATAACCTGGTGGTATAGTTAGGGCCTCCCATACTTCGGACAATTCTTTGTCCCGAAGGAAGAATCGATTACCAAAATTTCCTTGGACATTATTCCAGCTGTGAGGATAATGGATCTCGGTCAAAACTACTTCCCACTTACCTGTAAGGTTCAGGGTTTGTGGTGAACTAACTCGGTACTCTGTTAATGTGTTATGAGGAAATTTATCAAGACTGCTATTGCCAGGGAGTTGTAGATAAAACGGTATTATCTCCATCGTACCCTGTGTTGAAATGAACTTTTTAATCTGGGTATTCTTAATTTATTAGAAACCACACACAATTAATTTTATCATTTCATTGTCTTTTATTCACTAGACAAATAAGCATAAATTACAACATCAAAATATCACTTTCTTGAACACAAGAATCAAAGTTTGGATCTTCGTATCCTTTTCATCTCACAAGGTACTCTACTACTCCTTAACGCTTTCTCTTCCGCAAAATTTTCTCGTCGCGGTACACATCATCGTTCTTGATAATTTCCTGCAATTCGGGTTAATAAAAAGTTGCATCTAAGATTTCACCTGCATCATCTTTTAGTTTATAACCGGGTACTTTACGAGCCATTCGCTTGTAAACAGGAAAAATTTCTTCCCTAAAATTAGGCAAGTAAGATTTTTCAAACATTCTCTTCACTTTGCTAATCCTGACGCGATCTCCCACTTGAAAAGTACATCGCACAGGCTTTTGAACATCATCCCCATAGAAAGTATTCCACACTTTAGCTTCATTCGCTTTGGTCACCTGACTCTGTTTCATTCTAACACTTCGGTGGTAACTGTTATTGTAAGGAGATACTAACTGAGGTAATACATTAACATGGGTGAGAGTGTTTTTGGCTGTGAAATATTTGTACATCTTATTCTTAAATTTTCGGTTAAAACGCTCAACCACTGAGGCTTTGAGCCCAGAGTTAACTGTAAAAAAGTCAATGTTGTTTTCACGCAGAAATTTCTGGAAACCGCGAACTCTGTTCCTTGATCTGTTTGCAGTTTGATGGGTTTGCGACTAGTAGAAAGGATCTTTTGAAAGGCTTTGACCAGTTCTTGACCATGTTTTGTCTTCAAAGGTAACACAAACGCGTACTTGCTGAAGATATCTATACAAGTCAATAAGTATTTATAGCCCTTGTTGTAGCGAAAGAGATGTTGGAGGTCGACCAAATCCGTTTGAGATTGCTCATCTATTCCAAAAACGATGACTTGACTTCTCTTGTAGCGTCCTCGCGCGGGCTTGTGAAGAGTATAAACATCTTGCTGACTTAACCAATCTCGGACTTGCTCACGCGATGTCTTGTTCTTTCCTTTCTCTTTGACTGCTCTGTAAACAGCATCAAGAGCCATAATGGGACAGAGAGGAAGCCTTAGGGCGTTGGCCGGGATATGTGAATTTCACCTAAGTTATTTTTAGAGGCTGTAATTAAACGGAAGTCTAATTCTGGGACGTCCGCTCATTTTAATCGATTGTTTGAAACGTCATCCAGTCCGCGCGCGTCTGCCTCAAAGCAAACAAAGTAGAATGTTGTAATGGCAACTGTGGAATATTGAACATGACCTTTTCGAATGAGATTTACAGGCGCCTAGATTACGGCATCAATATTTTAGATGGGCCTGGCTGATGAGCGCATTTCAGTTCAAGAAATTGAAGTTAGCGTTCCTACTCACAAGCTTAGGAAGAGCAATGATTTGTCCGAAGAGGACTCAAATTTTGTTTCCCACGCCAGAAGGCCGTGAGAAGAAGTCTGCTGATAAAAAGAAACAGACGAAGGTCAAAGAATTAACTAAAAT